CTCCTCTACACACCAGCCCTGATTCCAGTGCCTCCCACACCCCAACCCTCTGCCCTGAGCCCCCCCATGCATCTAGCTCCATTTCCTGTACCCCTCATACCAGCTCTGACATCTGCACCCCCCATATCATCACCCCCTGACCTGAGCCTCGCCCACCCTCTCAATCCTCTGCCATGGAGTCATATTGCACCACTCCAACCCCTGCACTAAACCCTCCCTCCCCACGGGGCAATACAACAGTACTTGTAAGAAATTTAAGTTACTTTCAACCCTGCTTAAAACTAAGCAAATGTTTACATACCACCTTCTTGAATCAAGCCTAAATGAGAACAGAATTTGGCCTTTTACTTGAAGAAACAATAACTTTTATTTCAAGCAATCCAAAAGAAAAAAATTACATACAAAAATATATAAGTTTTACCATTAGGGAACATTATGGAGGGTAAGTTTTGTGATTTTTTTTTAAAACAATTGCAATGAGCACCCCAGACCAATTTTAATTCACAAGTCTTATTTCCATAAAGATTAAAATAAATACCTTTTTCCAATGATGCTGCAATTATTTGCCATTTTTTTTCAATGGAGGAACATCCCAAAACTATATTCTGGCACAATGAGTTCCCGACAGATGGCCTTAAAACTGTCTCTTTGTATGAGACTTTTTTTCACTCCCCTCTTTTTTCCTTTTCTCAATCTCTCAGCATTTGGTTTTTATTCTGATCTTTCATCAGTTTTTCACTTTAATTTTATCATATTGTATTATGGATTTTCTTCTCTAATTCTCTTTTTCCTTAGAACAACTCAGGCAACATTTAAGTCAAATTTTCAAACCTCCATATTCTAGTGGGTTCATAATTAGACAAAAGGGATTCATTTGTCTCCAGAAAGTTTGAAAAAAGAGAGAGAAGGTTATAATAAAAATAGTGACTTCCTTTTAAGCAGTGCTAACAGGCAAATACCGCAGGTTAGAAATTCTCCAGGTCATTCTGACTGTAAGGCAAAAGCAAAGCTTCTATTGTCTTCAGTTGCCTTTCCCCTTGTAAACCAATCAGCATTCTTGAAGGCAGGAGGACACATTTGATAAACAGCAACTTTTTATCATCACTACTTTTCAAAACTTGTAGTACCAGAAAATATTCACAGCTGACTTCAATGCAAGCAATGGACATGCATATAAAAGTGGATTTTTCATTCTATGCTAACTGATAACAATTCCATAATTCCTCCATAAACACAGAAATATAAACAGTAACAAACCTGCTTGGCCTGAGTAAACCTTAAAAACAACTTAATAGGTGCCAGAAAGTATTGGCATGGACATTTCCAGAAGCCTTGTGTTAAGCATTGGGAAAATGCATCAGTAATGATAATTTTAAACAGCGATATGAAGACAAAAGTATAACCTGAACCATACATAAAAGGCATCAGATTTCTTTTGCCAAATTATCACTCCGGC